CTCTTTCATATGAGCAAAACAGTACGCTTTGTTCATTTAGTACGTTTGCCTTAATGAATATGCAATATGGGGCATTTCTGCCCTAGCGTGCAAAATACTGGGAGGAGAAAATGCAAAGAAATTAAAGGCTGAATATGCTGCATTTTACACAAAAATATAGCAGAAATCGAAGTATATCCTCTGAAAATAACTCTGAGTCATGACTGTCTACAATGAGTGTAACACCCGAGTCCCACTGTCCGTGATGCTTTCTGATCCGTATCTACAGCGTGTTTACATGGACGGGATGGCCGGCCAGCTAATCCCTCGTGTATAAAAGTTGTGAGACCAGAGGGACTAGAGGGAGTTGAGGGACTAGAGAAAAGAAGAATAACATACTGTACTCACTGCTTATTTGAAGCATTTTTAGATCACGCTCATTTCAGGTAATTTTACATGCAGTGTGAAGATACGAGCATAATAAAGATCGCTAGCATTAGCATGCTAACACAACAATGCAGCGCAAGTTGTTTTGGTTTCATGCTGGTGCTCAAGGGCGACATCTGCTGGATCAAAAATTTGCAATTCTTCCTTTAAGTTATTACACGCATTGGCCCTCACTCATTAAACGTACATACGGCAGAAAAATGGGTATACGGTCATTTCCACGCAAAGTTCGGCACTTATCAATTTGGACGTGAGCGGTGGGTACGCTCAAATCTCACACCAGGTCTCGGTTCTTGTACGCACATTTTCAACTCAGTGTGGACTTGCGGTGCAGCGAATCTGTCTGTGTCGGAGAATAATTAGATCATACTATAACAGCGCTTGTTAAGACGGATAGATAGAGGCTGACAGATTTACTGTTAGATAAGATATCTCAAATGTATTTTATATTGCGCTTCACCTCAAACGATCTCTGTAGGCTACATTGCTTTTTAAATAATGTTGAGCAGCACTAGCTGTCAGGTGATTTCTTTAGTTGTGTGTTTTATTTGATTATTTTTTGTTTGTTTAATCGATTTACTTTTAAGATTAGAGAGGCTGCTTTCAGTAAATACATGTTAAATGTTCATGCGCACAGGAATGTCACTGCAGAAAATACTGAGACAAATTAAAACAGAACAACTATAAACAGTTAGCCTTCTTTAAAAGGACAGAAAAACTTCCAGAGGATAGTGAATACAACTTTTAGCCTCTGAAATATGAAATATTTAGGAATACAGAACATTAACATTAGATCATGACTAATCGGATGTCCGGAGATTAAAATAATAAATACGCTGATGTGCCACATGCGTAATAACGCACAGCAGACGCACATAGGCCAGAGATTACATGTGACATAATAACGAATAAAGAAATCCGGGGGGCTGAAAGAATGCTAATCGGATGAGAAGTGCACATTGCACAGCGTTTGATCAAACACTTTATTCATGTGATGCTCCGGGAGCTGCTTCTTTTAAGACCCGCAAAACTAGGCTACATTGTAGCGACCGTATGGTCTGACCAGGTTTTTAAACTAAAAGTATTAAAAAAATATATATTATAGCCTAGATTATGTACGCAACATTAAATATTAAAAACTCTGCTGGAGTTCGGTTATCCTCACCATTGCTGTTGAGATTTCCGTGCAGGCTAATTTCTTCTGAAGCTCTTTAATCCTACATTTCAGGCTGCCAAACAACATAATGTTATTCCTCTTTACTTTTCTCTGTTATGGTGTCACTCAGGTCATATCTCGTTTCTCTTATTTGCCATATTAAGTTTCTCCATGCCATAAACTCTGGGGGCGAGGACAGCTGAGCCGTGAATAAATAGGGGCACGGTATTTAAATGACAATCGTTTCCAGCCGCCACACTTATCAACTCCCAGTCTTGCGTACGCTGTGATCAGCCAGATACGCACGTTTCATAGGTCCCACGTGGACCCTGTCGTACGATGATTTCTACACCCAAATCTGCGCTGGTTTCTACACCAGATTGATAAGTGAGGGCCATTGTGATTTACCAAGCCTGACAAAACTGCTGTGATTGTGACGGTGTCTGTATTTATTACCTTTTTGAAAGGAAGGCGCTAATCCAAGAGCCCAGGTTGCTGTTATTGTAGTGTAGCCGTTATCAGCAGCCACGTTTACAACTCTCTTCCTGCAGGACTCAGGACTGTGGATTAACATTACTTTTACCAAGGAACAAAGGAACTGATCAATGATTTAAGTCTCCCTCTCAGACAGGATGTTATGAACTTTTACAACACCTGGAATAAACAATCGAGCAGAAACAGAACACTCTGCTATCTACGAATTGACCCCAAAGACATGAACTGTGACCGAAACCAGTCTCTGCAAAGTCGTAAAATTTACCATCTATTGAAGGACTTCTGAAGAACTGAATTAAACCACAGCTTTCAATTCTGCATCAAATGAACATTTATGTCTTTCTTCATCTAGATATTTGTAATTGTCACATTGAATGTATTATAATCATCTTTTTAAACTCAAAATCTGATCTTCAGAATAGGAATAAGAGTTATATTATGTTTAATAGGAATTTGACGTGGAGCGCTATTGCCATCTAGTGTTAGAATATCCATGAATACGTAACCTTCATAATTATACATTTAGACGTGTTATAAAGCATACTCTTTGATATTAGCTATAGAAGGTGTTATTTAAAGACACCAATTTATTTTCCTACTTTATTAATATGTCTTATTAAGAATGTTGACTGTATAACATGTTTTTGTTCACCTACAGGCTGGGATTGACTGAGAATGTTCCCAGATGGTGTGATTTTCATCTCAACATGAGTCTGATAGAAATGTTTGTCTAAATATATGACGTGAACCTACATCAACGCAAATTTTTGGAAACATCAATTCTTTCTGGCTCAAGCAAGGTTTTTGAACTTTGTTCTCCGAAGTCTTTGTTCTTCAATTTTGAACGCCAATTCCTTAATTTGGATTCATCAAGATGGCCATCAGGTTAATCTGAATTGGAAATCGACGTATCAAAAGGCTCTTTAATATTTTTCCTGTTGGATCCTCTTGGAGCTTCTGAGACGACAGCTGAACCGACGTACAATCTCCATCCCAGCTGCATACTCCGACCAAGTTGTTAAGGCATCTAATCTGGCCTGTGGACCTCTCTGGGCCTGAAAAGAACCGCTTGCCAGAGACTGAAACGCGGGACCAGCCGGCGGAGCTCAATTGAACACATCTCACGGTAAGACTGCTGGTGGCAAGGGGTATTGGAAGATTGAGTCTTGACTCGTGTCTATTCAGAGCCCTCCTTTAAATCCAAATAGAATCCCAAAATTACTCTATCAACTTTTTCTTTTTGACCATTTTCTGATTAAGTCATTCAAACAAGCAGGAGGTGCGAGCTGTGTCCTCTGTGGCATGAGCGCTGAGGCACGACACTCGGGCCATTTTCGCGCACACCAGACAGCTGGTCAGTCTGGTCTGGCAATGGCCATTAATGCCCTGGCAAGAGGGATGGAAGCTGGGGTAAAAGCACTTGTGAGGTCTCCTCATGTTCTCTATATAATGCTTCTTTCTCATTTCTGCCAAGACTTCTTCAGGAATTTTGTCAAGCTGATCAAACAGTCTAAACATACGGCGCTCTATACTGGTCATTTTCTCCAAAGTGTCGAGAGTGTTAAACCGAGTATCTACGATGGTGCGATACACATCAGTCACCCTCAAACCCAGAGCTTCCAGCAAGATATCCTGGTCATCTTTAGGTATTGAATCATGGAGATGAACCTTGCGTTTGAGTTGGGCACCTCTTTCTTTATATCTCTTGATTTGATCCTTTACTTCATTTAGCTCAGAGTTTAGCTTCTCTTCTTCCACATTAAATGCATTTACAGTTTTCTCTGTTTGCAAACGAAACTCCTCCAGCATTTCGTTGTTTCTGGTGACGCTCTGACACAGGACTAGGTGTAGCTTGACCAGCTGCTGGCTCTGATCCACAATCTGCTTGGGATCAGATAGCATTTTCTTTCATTTCTGCTCAAGTTCCGAGCTGTCACCATCCAGTTCAGAATTTTTGTTTTGGACCGTGGACTGTCCAGGCATCTCCCGACCAAGGCTGCACATAGCCTTGGACTGAGGCAAGAAGTCGATGACAATTTTTTTAATACTTATCGTATTTACGCATGATTTCTTCAGTCTGTTCCAATTCATTGTTAATGGTCGCTATTTTGTCATGTAAGTCCTCACTTATCGCTTTTAAATCCTCTTTTGAATTGTGCGCTCTATCAAAGTCCAAGTTGGCTTTTGCAAGTCTTTCCTCAGCTCTGTTGAGTGACTCCCTGTGACCTTTTTTAATACGATCAAGCCGCCGCTCAAGCTGTGACACATCCTGCTCCTTTGCTTCTATAGCTTTGTGAAACTTCTTAATCTCACATCTTTTTATCACCAGGGATGCCAAAATCATGGCTCTCTTCTTTTCGATAGAGAGAAATTCCTGCTCCGGTTGTCTGTTTGCCATTGTGTTTGTTATTCTATAAAACTCAATCGCACCTGACAAAATAGTAGACTTTGAACTGGGATGAGGTTTGTTTTGCTCCTGTTTGTCTCTGTGGCTGTGTTAGCTATGTGTTTCTAGACGTTTGTGTGTTCTAGGACACAAATAACAGGCTGGCAGTGACATCACAACTATCCTGTGACATCACAGTCCTTTGATGTTTTTGAACACAAACACAAAAAAATCAATTTAATGACAAATAATAATAATATAATGATTTATACTTTATTAATCCTGCAAGGGGAAATTCAGTTTTACAGTCTGTTTAAAGGCTTTATATGCGATTTTTCACACTTAAATGTATCAGAAATCAAGTTTGTCCGTTGTATATAACTCTCTGAGTCATGACTGTTTCCAATGAGTGAGAAGCTCCAGTCCCACTGGCTTTGTTGATATAGAAGCAATGTTTATCTAGCCGGCCCGGCCGCCCCCTCCTTTAGGCCTGCCCCTTGTGTATGAAAGCGCAGCCGCAGACCGCCCCTACACCAAGGGAAGAAGTGTTACAAATGGCGGACTACAGTGCGAAGCGTACGACGGAAGACCTTCCACCGGCTGGTCCCCCACCTAAAACATAACGGCCTTTTGCTAGAACAGCAGACAAAGACCGGAGTAGAACTAGAATCAACATTGGGCTGGCTTTTCCACGATGGAGAGCCCTACGCTCAACGAAGGGGCTCGAACACGATACCCCGATAGATTCCTACTGGTCCAGGCATAAACGTTTCTATTTTTTAGTCACTGACTAGAGAAAAAAAACAATATCATACGCTCTGCTTATTTGAATGGTACGTAAGTGTTTAAAAGCACATTCTTTCCGTGTAATGTGCGATGTAACGCTACGACCTAACTACAATATGCTAACATTAGCCTGCTAGCACAACAATGCCGGCCACAGGCTTGAGCTAAAACATGCATTATTTCTAGATATTTAAACGCCATCGATTGTTTGTTTGATCAATGTGGTTATTCTCATTTGCTGCTTTATAGTACAACAGAACTGGCTTCGAAGCATTAGGCAACATCTGAATAGGCCAAGCCTAAGTAGTTGCAAAGCTAATGGGTTGCATGTGCGTTGCATATGAACAGTTGTGTATTATTACGAAAATATATACGGTCGTTTTGTTTTTTGAATTTCCCTACTCCAGCTATGATATAGCAGATACGGGAGTTAGAAATCTTGTATAGTAACGTCCAAGCTCAGGCTGTCTGTTGGCATGCTCTTGGCTAAACTACGGTGGGTCACTAATCTAAATAATGCTATCAGCTTGGCACTCATTATGCACAAATCACATGAGGCTAAGTTTCGCAATGCTTTCGTTGTTGCTGTCATCATGTGATAAATACTTTACACGTAGCTACTGAGATTCTCTACAATACAGATGCATGAAAACAATGTTTTGGCTGGGGAGATCAAACTTACTGTTTGTAAGGATAATTGAATTCATGTGTGCTGTTATTTCTTTGAGGTTTGAAAAGGGTCCTGCAGGCCAGGATTGTGTCGAGGAGGCTCTGTTCAGGAGCAGGGATGCCCCTGACAAGGGAACAGCGTCCAGGCGACCCTCGGAAGCTTGGACCATTGGCACCCATTCCCCCCCCACCCACTGCAGAACTTGCTGAGAAACAACTCAGACGAGGTCTTGGTATGTAATTCATAAAAATGTGAATTAACTGAAGAGTATTAGATGTGAATATTTGAATTAAATTTATAATAATTTACTTACAATTTGATATTTTTGGTCCCCATTTGCAGATCCAGCACAGCCAGAATGACAACAAGAGCTGTTGTGAAAGCACATGGCCTCCTTTTCTACGAACATTCATCTGCAGTTTCTGGCTACAAGTACAGCTGCTGTAATATAGGAGGACTGCATGCTGTGGTAAAACCAGTAATTTGCTCCCCGCATCAAAACAAAAGTGCCTTTTGCTTCGACCCTTGAACCAATCACTTCAAACGCACTTTTTTTTTTTTAATGCACTTTATGGACTTTGTCAAACAAATATCCATTTTGCACCAATGGTGCTGTTTAATCACAAGCTGCTAAGTTCAATAATACCAGCATGGTCTATTTTTTATTTTCAAGATGTACGAACACATTTTGCATTTTTTGTCTAAATGTTCAGAGCATTATTTCAAAAAATAAATACTTATCAACAGCTTTTTAATTGCTTTTTTCTGTAAATTGGTTGGCTTATTTAGTCTGTATCTGTAAATGATGATCTTTTATTTTTAGAAGACTGCTTCAAATGTTTTTAATCTTTGTCCCCCCAAAAATTTAACTCAATTACAGTATGATAGTCACAAGCTGTAATGACTATACTGGTCTGTGTAGACATGTCAAAAATATGCATACATGCTTCTACTTTGTAAATATTAACAGCTCACTGTCATGTAATTATAAGCAAGAACACTGTGGCTTACTTATGTGTTTTCACTAGCAATTGCATAGAAGAGGAAACCTTTTACTTCCTACTAGAAAATGTGTGTGGTTTTCACAGATCATGAAGAGGATATGCAAATGCAATTGATCAGACCTTTTACGTCACAAAATTAGATTTATTAAAAAAAATGCAACATTAAATAATTCTAACGGACTACAAAGCACTTCAAACAAGTTGGTGTTGGCATTTGATGCCCCAAATGTGCATGTAGCCACATGTAAAAGAAGTTTTGCTAGTGGCCAGGAACATATCCAGTATACTGAGCATAGGGATCAGGCCACCCCTAATCCTCCACACACAGCAGCTGGGAATTACCAACCGGTTTCCAATATATAAAGCTTCTGTATGCAGCAAAGCGGTACTCCCGGTTGTCTTGAGCTGGCTCCCTTGCCCTGCCAAGTAGAGTGATGTCCTCCCTGAAGTTCCTGTGGACCCGCAAAACACCTGCATCAAGGCAGTAAAGAGCGAATGATGCCAAACGGCTGAAGTAATGGCCTCAGACACTCATCGACAGTAGCTAGTCGCTGCAGCCTGCTTCAGAATCAGCAGCCATACCGACATCCGACTGTAAAGAAATGGCAAACATTCAGAGGGATTCAAGTGAAAACACTTCTTCATTGCTGTTTCTAGCATTTTACAATCACCGAAATTACTCTAATGGTAAAAGATGGCTAACTAGCAGTAGCAGTGCAAACTGCAAGCTAAAAATTACTTTTGTCTACTCCGGAGTAGAATACAAAAAATAGCTCCTAACACAGGTGAAAATTCTTCGGGATATAAAAAATAACGCTTTAACAATGACATTACTAAAAACGTCTTACTTACCTCGTCACTTGACATTTTTCCGTAAGAAAGCTTTTACAAGGGAAATATTATCCACCGCTGGAGCTTGACTCCTTGCGAACACGAGTTGAGGTGTGTTGCTGGAGTAGAGAGGGAGGCTACAGCCGTTTGTTTTGATTTCATGCTGGTGCTCAAGGGCGACATCTACTGGATCAAAAAATCGCATATAAAGCCTTTCAGGAACATGGTACACAAACATGCACAAACAGGATCCTATGAACATGCACTAATGGAGAGGTCTCATAGTGAGGGGGCTGCCCACAGCGAGTCCTCCAGAGCAGTTTTTGGGGTTCGGTGCCTTGCTCAAGGGCACCTCGGCAGTGCTCAGGAAGTGGACTGGTACCTCTCCAGCTACCAGACCAATTTCCAGACTTGTTCCGGAAACTGGCGACCCTCCGATTTCCAACCCAAGTCCCTACACACTGAGCTACTGCCGCCCTGATTTCAGGTACATTCTATTTTTTTAAGCACTTTATTAAAGTGTAAATTACACACGTACATCCTGAATTTGAACACACAACACACAAACTCTCTTGTATCTGCTGGGAATAAAACCAAAATGTGAGATTAGAGCTGCACAATGTATCACAGCCTGTTAGAAGCTGAGGACAACCAGACGAACCTGAACACACACAAATACAGACACACACACATGAACAAAGCTACAGAAAAACTACTACATAAACATAATTACAACACACACTAGAGCTGCAACAACGAATCGATAAAATCTATAAAAATCGATTAATAAAAGTGTTGGCATGTCATAGACTGGTGACGTACACGCCGAACTGTTTACATGCCGACAGCAGCACAGCGCGGCGGACCCAGAGCGTGAGAGAGCGGAGCTGGTATTTTGGATATTAAACACAGCAGAGCGGAGCGAACGGTTCAATCGACAAGTGTGGGAGCACTTCACAATGCATAAAAACACGAGTTAGTTGCACGCTTTGCACTAGCGATATGGCGTGGCACGGGAGCACCACAGTGATGATGCAGCACCTGAAAAGTAAACATGTCGGAGTCATCGCTGACTAGGAAGGGAGCTCGACAGCAGGGTAAGTCACTACAAAATCCCACGTTTGTTCCGTTTTCAAGTAAGAAAGTGTAACGTTATTTTCTATGGTTGCTCAGCTGGTGCTTTAACGTTAACGTTTAATGTTAGCGTTAACTGGTTAATGACGGCGGTAGAGAAAACTTTTTACTTTGCCAACACCAAACAAGCTCAGACAAAAGAAAACTTTTTATTATTTTGCCTTTTAGGCCTACATTCAATACGTTGCCAGATATATTCTTTGCTTTTTTCACATATTATTTTCTGTTGACGTTGGAATATATTTGTGTAGGTGTGTGTTTTACATTTTATTTTAGCTTACATTTGTTTTAAAAGCACTTTGTCAGCTTGCTGGAAATAAATAAACAATTAAAAATGAATGTACTTACTACAATGATTTAATAATTTAATGATTAAGCTTCCAGTGTTCATTTTCTGTAATAGGTGAGAGTTAATACACTGCACTGTATGCAAGTGCATTTAGACACTTAATTAAATTTGTGTAAATAAGTAGTTTTTAGGGTACCTGTGTGAATGTAAATAAATTATAAAAACGTGTGTTGTCTCTGCAAGTACTCTTTGGGTTATTTTCTTGCCTTTACATAACAATAATTCATAACTAAAACAACAAGGCATATTGATTAGATGTAAATTGTGCTGTTTTACATATTAATACTATCTTTGTCATTGCAGAAAACATCATGTACACCACAGCAAGCATCCGTCTTGACAGATAGCATCCTCAACATGCTCGTCGCTGACATGAGGCCTCTGACGATGGTTGAAAATGAAGCTGTAATTTCACTACAATGATCCCCACCTTAAATCCTGGCTACACTCGTCCCTCAAGGACCCATTTCACAAAGCTCATTTAGACGTCCAAGCAGTAACCTGTTGTTTTTGCACTTTTGTTTGCACTGTCAATGAACTTTTGAATGTATGGAAATTCAAAATGTTATTTTTTTATCCGATTAATCGATTATTAAAATAATCGTTAATGTTAGCAGCCCTAACACACACACACTAAAACATTCAAACCTAGGTGAGAAACAGCTCACTAAACGTTCCCACACTTTGAGAAGTAGCCTACTGTCATGAGTTGGTGTGGTGAGTTTTCCTTTTTTTTGTGTGGTGTCATTAAAATGTTTCACCTTAGTGAGCACATATTATAACTTTTGTAGACACAAAAAAACAGCCAGTTAACCGCTGCTGCAATCATCAGTCACAGAAACTTCTGCATGCAACACCTCAGAGACGAGGACGTCTCACCACAATCTTATGTGCTTGTTCCCTTTCCCATGGAGTGATTTCCTGTCCTCTCAATAAACCTGAGGAGAGAATCTAAGAAGTACAAAATCAAAGTAAAAGCTTTTGCCATGAAAAATAACATTTGTAAATTAGTAAAAACCTAAAACATTTTTTTTTTCCAGAGCTGCTGAAACATCCCCATGCTTCTGATATTATTCACCATTATTAGTGCTGCTTCACCAGCTAGAAAAAGAGAAATGCAGACTAAGTCTAGCTGCAGCACAATGCTTCTCACATTATTGGTCTATGTGATTCATCTCATCCTTAAATGTTGTTTAAATGAATCAACTTTTGACTTTTAGCTGCACATTTTAGAGAATGTGCTTCATGTTTTTTTATTTTCTTCTTACATCCAATCCCATTTAAAACAGTTTGTTTTTAAATGTCTGTATTACTGAATAACTTTTAGCATTAAATCATATTGAAACATGTCTAACTGCCTTAACTGAATCTCATTTCATCTAGTTTTATTACATTTTGAACCTCCTGTGTTTCCTCATTTAGAATAAATGATAGCGTTTCCTCAGTACCTGTTATTATCTAGTTACTTTTACCTTAGATTGTGGGATAGGGGTGGGGGAGGGAGTGATGTTGTTGCTGTTTGATTAAATGTTGATGCAAAGCATTTTGTGATACATTTGTTGTATGAAAAGTGCTGAACAAATAAAGTTTGATTGATTGGTTGATATTGATCGTCTTCATAGTGATGCCTTTGAGAGCTCTTAGGGCAGATAGAAGTGTGTGGAAGTCGGCCTCTGGCTGTGGAGGTGAAGACCGGGAGTGTGTGATGAGTTTGTACTGTTGATCTCTGTAAGCGGAGCGGAGTGAGGAGGACATTGAGAACGTGCATAAAATGTCATTTCCTGGAGCTATTGCGGAAAATACGACCTGGGGAAACTTTTTATACGATTTTTTTATTTTTTTTATTTTTATACGAAAAAACGATTTATACATGTAAAAAGTTACCTTGTAAAGCCCCTTAAGTTAGTTATTTTGACTTGTTAAGAACCACTTTGATTTTTTAAATGTTTATATTAAAGGTGATACCATTAGACATAGAGATGTTCATGTAAAAGAAACATGTTGGAGCCTCTGAGAGACATGAACAAGCTGAAGGAAGCACTGTCCAGTATG